ACTTCTTTTCTGCTAAGTCTGCGGCGGTTCTCGCTTCAATGCAGTATAAATGTAATAGCTAGAGAATGTTTGGGCTGTTTTTATCATATGCCACTCTGAAATATGATAAAATTTGGACTATTTTAAAATAAAATCTCCATCGCCCGTAGAGTATCAACCAACGTCCACGAAGTGAATTTTTGCACAACATCTGGAGACGTGAGGTACTTGGACAGTGAGGTGACAGCGCAAAAGATCTTCAGTGGAGCATTGTTAACAGAAGACTGGAAATTCATCAAAAATTATCATTATGATAGTTCGTTTATCAATTGATATTCTCTATTCGTCATTGTGTGGTCTATTCAATGTAGCTATGATCTCTCTTTTCTTTCTCTCTCGTTAATCTTTAAGCCGCCCTTCAGAAATAGTATTCCAATGTCAACATACCGTGTCAGACCCTACTTTCCTTAAACTTTTCGAAGGCAAAGAATAAAATAAGAAATAAATTGTATAAATAGGGTACATCCACAGGGATGTTTCCGATTCCCAAGTTGAATTGAAATTTACAGGTTTTATAGTGGGCTCTCAAACAAACAAATACGTTAAGCCGCTGACAATTTTCTTGTAGCATTTCTAACAATGCCACATATATGTGTTCACGCGACCGACTAATTGAATATCACTGTCACCTCATTTTTTGGCATCGAACAGCCAGATGGCGGTAATTATATTACGCCTCTTACCCTGTCTCGTTGTATTCCATCGGCGTTTGATTTATTGATAACTTAGATAAATAGGAGAGCCCCTGGAAGGTATGCTTTTACCATGTCATACGTAATAGCAGATTCGCCGATGCCAGGGCTGTCAACTATGACGATTCCTTCCTGAAAGATTTAAAAATCCAGGATATGTGACTCTCACATAAAAGCTCGCTTTCTAAATTATCCCTAGCAACTATTACCCAAGACCTCGGTCATCAGTATATGCGGTAGGTAATCTTTTGCTTTTGTTGTACAATTGTTGTTAAGGCGAGAATTGTGGAAGTCCTTGAATGGTTAGCAACTTAAGCCGGAGTATGTTTATGACGTCAAATATATAATTATCGACTTGTTGGTACAACATCTTTGCAACTTCTTCATCAAGAACACTTTGACGCTTTCTCAATTCAACACCAAAAGTTGTCCTTAATATAAAAATTATTATAATACATTGCACCCTAAGTAATCGATCACTGACCTTCAGCAGGCTGTGTGGCCAAAACAATTCAATTTTCTTGTAATCCGAGCCCCTTTCTCGAAATTTCTTTGAGTGCACAAAGGGTGAGATCTGCATGGCTAGAGATCTTAGCTAACTTGTCAAGACAGACCGTCTTTGTCTCCTGATTCCTGTCTTTAAGGTGCGCAACCATCTTGAGTGTATCTAGCTGGGAAGGAGCTGCTCCCCAAGAATTAGACTCGACAAGTTAATTTTTCCTGAACTGGTCTCACCTAAAATGAAAAGCTATTTTTTAGCCTGCTTAGCTCCTCTAAATTAGCTTGTCATGGTTTGAGCTGCGAGAAAAAGGATTATGGTGTAATGTGATGCTTAGAACTGTCAGGGCTGTCCTAGAGCTTTTCTAAGCTGTAGTATAGCTGTACAAACTACGTGAAATCTGATTAGTCTATCCAATTTCTAGAAACAAAACCTATTCAAAGCTGTATGTAATCTCGTACCCAGATTCTACCGTGTAACTGTAGCCTTAAAGGACCTGGGTACGAGACTATGGCCTAGTTATAAAAGTACTTTGGTTGTCCATAGAAGCCCCCAAAAGTTACAAATCACTCGATTTAACGGCTCGCGGACTTGAAAGGTT